CCTCATCAATTCACACCAAGCTGAAAATTGTTCTAAAAATCCTTGGGATATATGTAAACAAGTTCCCTTGAACTTTCGAACCAGGAAATCCCAACTTCTTGGACGTCTTTTGCATATACTGTGGTTACCTATTATATTCGAACAACAAATGAGCAGAAGATGCTCGCCACTGATGCAGCTTCATGCGTCTTTTCTCACAATGGGAATATGAGTATAAAGAAATTCTCAGATGACAAAAATATTTTCCGTGGGAAATGATTCATTCAACAATTTTCCTCAATTAAGCAGCAAGGATTTTTTCTTCCGTTTAAAGAAGAATCAATTCGATGAAAAAAAAATTTCTATGCTTTTTGCGTGCATTATGCTACGGAAAAATAAAATAGTGGAAGCATTACGAAGAAGGTACCTAGAAAATCAAGCCATATCATCACATTGCGATAAGAAAAGCTTTATCATCCTAAGATTTGGGGTAAACAGACCCGACGAATAAGGTTGCGCATGGCTCCGAATTTTCGGATCCTTCGAAAATCATTTGGTTTCTTCTGTTTCGAATTTGCAGAGAAATAAATTTAGAAAACAAATTCACGCATCAGAGTTTTCCAATTTCCGCAAAAACTGACGTCAAAGAACACAAATCGTCCAAAATGCAAACAAAAATAGAAAAGAATGCAGGAGCATGATGTTGCAACAATTGTTGCTATGATGCATTTTATGAGATTAACCCCATTCTTTAGCTTCTGAAGCAAAAATTCGGATTTTCTGGGATTATCCATTCACTTTTACGTCACTAAATTTTGAATATAAATATATTTTCAATGGAAATGAATCAGGATTCTCTTTTGAAAATTTGAGCAAATTATTCTGTGGTCAACGTGTGAGGAGACTTTCTGGCGGTATTCCGCAACTGTATGCTCGCCACAAACCTCGATAATTATGCAAATTTTTTTTATGAGTATTTTCTTGATATTTTTTCCAATTCTTCAATTTCCTTTCCTAGTCAAGTCTGACCTCAATTATTAGAGATGTGACCAATAAGCAGTGTGACTAAAATAATTGATACCAGCAGACATTATCACATTCATTTGAAATTTGAATTTTAAATCAATGTAAGTAAGATTTGAGAATGTTTTCCCAGCAATTCATCTTCAAAAATAAGATATTTTGAACGGGTTTTCGACGCATTGATGAAGAGATGATTGGCTAACATAAAACATTGAATGTTCATTTCCGCAGTGAATTGAAGAAAATTCTCGCAATCCGTCATCTTCATGAATTCTGAAACCCTTTACAATTTGAATTTCAAATCCACATTGACTACATTTGAAATACCCAGACTGAGACCATGAAAACTTCGCCAAAGAATGAAATATTCAATTTTCTGAAAGTAATTATCTCTGTTGAAATCTGGAGGTCGAAGCTCTTGACACTTCAAGAAATGTCTCATAACACCAGGATAAGAGGCACAGATAAATTATGAATGCATACACCTGGGTTGCATTCAAACTGCGCACAATGCTGATGCCTACACACTTTCTACATCTGGGAATCCCCAGGCTAGAACCAACTCTAACTTTTACCATGTACAATAATTATCATTTTTTCAGAGGCCAGGGCAAGGGTTCAACCGCCAATTAACCGACCAAGAATAGAGTGAGTGCAAGGAAGACTTCAACCTACAGAAAAGAACTCCACAATGTTGGGATATTTTTGCTACATTTAATGCACAAGAGCTCTGAAAGGAGACAAAATAGAAAAAACCTGAACTGAGAATCAAGGCCAAAGTTCAGAAACTTTTCAATTTGTTTTTCTCTGCTGAAACAATAATGCCTTGTCAGATGGAATTTTTACGTGCTTTCCTTGCATAGTTTTGAACTCCTTGTTTAGTTTTCAAAATCTCCAGGAACAAAAGGATTCAATCTTCTCAGATTTTTACAACTTTGGCCTTCTCAACTCATGCCACATAAATACTAAAGGAAATACACAAACATAAAAGTAATCTACATTTAAAAGGATAAAAAATACAATATTAGGAATTTTAATGCTGTATTAATTGCATTTTCATCCTAAAAAATATTTGTCCTAGGACCCAAAATTATAAAATAAATTCAATTGCTCTTTTAATGGTTAATCCCAATTGAGAGTTAAATATCAAGTAACTCAAATTATGAATTCCCAATTAAAAATTGCAATTTATTCTCAGAAATTTTCTAATGCCCAATCAAAATCATAAACATTGCAATGTTGATTCTACTTACAAATAAGGTCACTTGCAGTGCAATTAAAACCCTGGTGCAGATTAATAGTGGATGCTGCACATCCCAATTGTCAGGAAGAAAAAGGGGAGGGGAAGCATTCAAACTTTCTGGAATTCCTTGCTTCCCCATTCTTGTAAAAGTTATTTTCCTGAAAAGATCATTTTACTGCTACTGTTTGCAGACACTTGAGTTGAACTGAACATTTTGACAAACCCAAAGCACAAAAGTTGTTCCCTTCAGTTTGCATGCATCCAGGAATCAAGATTATTTGGATATGTGCAAAATATATGAATATGAATATAAATTGAAAGAAATAAAAATATATATATTGTATATACTGTATATATATATTTTTTTATTATTATTTATTTTAATTTCTTTTCTTTTTGTGTATGTGTGTGTGTGCAAAGTTGCAAACACATCCAAAAATGCAAACAACATATGGATGTGTGGGAATTGGAACTGTGCTCCAAAAATCCAGCAATTTGTTGGATGTGTGCTGACTGATGTCCAAATGCACCCATGAGTGCAGAACTGCATACATAGATCTGCACTCATCGAATGAATGGCTGGATTTGTTTAATCGCATTGGGATATGGCTTTCTACTTATGTGATTGGGTTTTTTCTTGGTTCCTTGAATTTCTGTGCAGAGAGTCTGCCTGTATTTAAAAAAAAATTTCCATTTGCATACACAGATTTATTTCCTGCCAGAATACGAGTACTGCATTTGCTTAAAAGTGTCAGCAGGTCAGCGGAGCTTGCACTGTAGAAACCGTAATGAATATATATGTGAACGGAAATGGACCACCAGCGACGCTGCTAAACACTCTTTAGTGATGAACTGCGATCTTGTAAGTGCATTTATTGAAGAAGTGAATCTGAATACGCTCATAAATCTATCCCAGGGATAAGAGCCGACACTGTTAACTTCTCCAAGCATCCCAACGATCCGCACAGCTGTAGATACCGAGGCAAAAAAGCTCTTCCATGTTTCCCAGAACCCCAACTGAAAAGTAAAAACGTGGAGTCACTCATGAATACTGTATCCTGTATATGTATCCACTGGCAGAGATGATAAAAGCTTGCGACGATGCCATTGTCTGGTTCATTCGGAAACCAGTCTCCAACCCGCGCGGTCGGTAACTGAGAGAAAAAAAAAATCACGGAAATGATTACGAACTCCTGACTATAATAATGTTATCTTATCCATCTGACATCAAGTTAGTTGAGATATGACTGAAGTTGAATTTTTTTCATACATTTTTGCATATATATAAAGATACGAGGTCCATTCGGGTACTCGAGAATGAACTTGAATTTTCCATTGGAAAGATCCCGGAGTTTCGTGTATGTATTTCTTCTTGCGTGGGATGGAACATTCTGGTGACGAAGTGATTATTTACGTCTTATCTTGGCCTTTTTTCGAAGATGACGTGAAAAGACGAGTGGCTTCTTTAGAGGCTGATAATTTGAATAGCTTTCGCATAGAATTTTTATGAATGCAACAATTATAAATAAAATTAGATTTTGCTCATGTGTTTTGATGACCCACGTCTTGGTGGAAGGAGGCAATTTTTTCGGGTTAAAGTTTAACCATACCCTGACGATGAGCATATTTCAGCATGTTATCAATGAAGTTGAAATGCAGAGAAAACGGATGATAAAAAAGCAATCGTTGTAGTGAAAAAGCACGCTTGCCAGTAGACCACTTGACTTCGTGTGAATTCACCAAGCAATCAAATTGCTAAACAAAATACCCCAAGCACATATCAAGAAATTTTAAAGCATTGGAAATGAGTTTCTGCTGAATCTTGGATGGTTCTTTGTGAGTGATGATGCTGACTGATGTTGAGGTTTGTTATTAGAATATCAATTGGTGGGCAAGCATAGTGTGTTTTCCTGAGTCAAAGCTGATTTTGAAAAAAACGTTTTAACATCAGAGCACTGCACTTTGTATTGCAGTACAGCTGTTCTGTATTTTCCCTGCATTTCACATACCCTGAAGCAGTGTTTCCCAAATTATGTTCCATATACTAGCACTTGTCTGTGAAAGATTTTTGCACCATGTCTGGAAATTTTCTTCAGCATAAAACATTTTATCAAAAGAAGCAATGAAGTGTATCATCTTTATTTGCAATTTTGGAAAGACATTAGCAGCTGAAATAATCTGATGAATAAAATTTGGGGTTTCTCCTAATAACACTTCACACAAATTTTCACCTGCTAATATACATTTTTAAAATGTCTCCTTCTGGGAAACCTCTCTTTGAGCCAACATATATACTTTTTTGAAGACATTCTACTCAAGCTGCTTTGCTGACTCTTATATTAATATTTAAAAAAAACAGAAACTTCTTAAATGACTGCCATAAAGTTTTTCAAACAAAGCAATTTTGAGTCAGCAAAAGCTTTATGAAACGCAGCTAGTCTGCAGAAAATGTTTTCATAATTTGCTGGATTGCAAGTGTGGATTTTCTTTTCCCCAGCATTTCAAGTGGTGCTGAGAAAGTTTGCGACATTCTCTCGTTCATGTTTTCAATCTGTGTTAATCGGATCATGATTAAAAAAAAGTGTAATTTTTTCTGGGAAAGTCGTTGGAACACAAATATGTAATATACTTGTTGGATAGTGCTGCAAAAAATACCTAGGAATGAAATGGCCGTGATGCTAAAATACGCTTTGCTCAATCTTCAAGTTGTTTTTATTTTAATTTTCATCGTCCTTCTTCTTCTTGGCAAAAATATAGTGCTGTTGTGCCGATTCTTTCGTCAACATGGTGGTAGTGACTGGGATTCATTCGTGGTTCCATCACGGACTCCAAAACCGACTCTTTTCCCTGGCTTTGAGCATTTCCGAGCGGCCCAAGACCTACACATTCGTCCCCATCCTTGTCACCATTTTATTGTCCCTGGGTTGCCTTTTTGGCCGATTCGACGACGACATCCAAGGCCTGTACACCGGCACTGGAACCCGCGTGGACCTGGCCAGGGTCATGTTCAAGCAGCATTTCGACAAGACCCAAGAGACTTTCCTTCCTGGCCGCATTGTGGACCTGAAGGCCTTCGCGAGGGTCTTGGTGATGACTAAAAACGGGTCGGATGTGTTGGCCGAGGGCCCTTACGGCGATGTGGTGAAGGTGGAGGAGTTCATCAGAGGACTGAGTGTGACCCTGAAGGACGAAGAAGGGGAAGATGGAATACGTGTGGTGAACAAAAAGTGGAAGTACGAGGACCTATGTGCACTCAATGACGGGCACTGTGTCAAGAATCCCGTGATACAGGTGAGATTTTTGGACTCTTTTCTTCTGTTTTGGAAATGGCGGACGAATAAAGGGCTTCATGTACAGTCAAACCTCTTTAACCCTTCTGCAGCAAAGTTGGACTATTTTCGCAAATTTTTTGGTTGCGCTCAAGAGAGGAATAAAAAAAAACCCCCAACAGTGTATGTGTAGGGCAAAGTAAGGAAAAATCCTGGCATTTTTAAATTTTCCACAGAAAAATTTCACCTGAAAAAGAAAAAAATTGAAACTTCAAGGCTCCCTTTTCTGGCGTTGTGTTGTTTCCCCATTCAAAGATTAAATTTAAGCTTGAAAGCCAGGAGCCCAGGCTAGAGGTCAATACAGAAAAAGTCCAACTCAGGACTTTCCCAGCATTTCTTTATCCCCGGATAAAATCCAACTTTGCCCTCCCCCACTTGGCAGGGGTTGCATAACCTTGTGAAAAAATATAATGCAGGCCCATTGGGAAAAAGTCTGACTTTGCCCTGGGATGGAAAGGAGGCTGCCACTGTCCAAGGGCTAAGTCAAATTTCAAAGGACAAGCACAAAATTTTGCTGAGAGAGATTTTGAGTTTGGGAGGTTGTGAGTTAGAAAATAGACATTTTAGTTGGGGGAAACATGAAAGAATCGCAGGAAATTGTAAATGGTGATATCTTGGGACTTAATTTGCTTCTTAAATCAAATGATAGAACGCTGAACTTGGAGGCAGGGGTTCATTTTTCCAAGTAGACTTTTACTCTCTCTCTAAAAAACAAAATTGCTGTTGAGGAAACAATAAAGGGTTCCCAACAAAAGAGATCAATGCAGTAGAATAACATGATGATAAATAATCTCACTGGACAAACAGCCTGTTTGCAGTTAGGAATATGTAATTAAGTGAACACCTTGATTACATATCTAAAGTTTGGTAAGGTTTATTAGGAATCAACAAGAATCATGGTCCACACAAGACAAAACACAATACAAATAAATCATCTCAATATATAAGTTCAAAATACATTCAAAACCAATGCAAGTAAAATTTGTGCACACATATTGAATGAATATCACTATGCATTGGTAAAAATAAAGGATTTACTGGTTTTGGACGAAGAGATTCAGGGGAAGTTGATGATGGTAGGAATGATTTAAGTGGACTGATTATTGGAGAGGGAGAATTTTTGGTTATTTATACATTTTAGTTGTATGCTTTGGTCAGCTGGCCTGACTAAAGCGCTAAACTTTCTTCCCTGTCTATGATTGGTGGGAGAAATTCATTCCAAAGTAGTCATGCATGCAGGGGAAGTGGGTGTATAGAAATGAAAAACAGGACCAGAATTATAGTCCTGGGACCTGATGTCCCTGGGCCTAAGTTCTGGTTCCCCAACAAATGCTGTACAATTACCTTTTTAATTACTTTTCTCTTTCCTAGGTCAAGAAAATGATAGCCAAAAGGCTTCTTGAAATTTGAGTTATGGAGGCATGAGAAGAAAATGATAGCCCAAAGGCTTCTTAAAATTGGAGTTATGGAGGCCTGAGAGGTATGAAAGGCCTTCAAGTTTGGGAGGTTTTTAATGCCTTGTTTCCAAGGGAATTCAAAACAGGAGCTGAAAAAATTTTGATGTGAAAAAACTTGACACGGTGTCAAGAATTCCGTGATACAGTTCAGACTTTAGATTTTCTTTCTACCTTGGATAATAAGCGGATGAAGGGCTTTATAAATAGAGAAATGATTGCAGGGTGTCTATATTTGAACAGAGTTGTATATGTCATCAGCATCAGGGTAGAACGGAAGATAAATTGAAACGGTGTCAAGAATCCCATTTCTTGCCAGAAAAGTTTCTTTCGGAAAAACTGGCGATTGTAGGGAAGCCCTCGACATTTATTCGCACCAAGAAATATGGATCCAAAAGTTTCATTCCGAAAGAAAATCTCGTATAAGCCAGGACTTATAATTCGGGAAATGTTTTGAATTCCTCGGCTCTTATGAATGCCTCCCAATCCATTGCTGGTATTTCGATTTTATTTTAGTTCTCACTTCTCTCACTCTTGATCACTTGAGATGCTGGGACTTGTTTTTGCCCAGCACTGAATGTTTATGTAAATGAAACCAGAGAACATGATGATGCATATATTCATGTATTCATATGCCAGGAATTGGACGGGAAATACCTTAGTGAGTTTCTGATGGCTTCTTCAGTTTTTATTTGCTTATTTCTAGTTTTTATTATGAGCAATATTTCGTTTTATGAAATGCACTAACTTCACGACATGAAAATGTTAATGCAAGAAACTTAGGGTACAGAACTGTGCAGAGTATTTCCCCTGACGTTGGTCAGATTGAGGATATTTTTGAAACATACTGTACATCTATTCCTGGGATCTGAAATTCCATTTCGAGATACCTTCTGGCCAGATCTGCATTATTCTATCTTATTAAAAATTGTTGAATTTTGATGGAGAACATTTACTATTATACTTATTCAGCTTGATTTGAAGGCCTTTCAAGACTGGCGCATAATATGTATATTTTTTTCTTACTTGAGAAAATTTTTCCTCTTTCCGTACGAAAAAATCAATGGTTTGGGAGACTTTCAATAAGAGGTATTTCGTGATGCGGAAATAATGCACTGCTGGCACGACCCTTGATATGGATAGAATAATGTGAAACTATTGCATGGCTTTGATACTGGAGATTGCGACTTGAGTTCATATTTTACAAAAGATTGAATTTGCATTTAATTGTATGCTTTCAGTCATCCGAAGGTCAACTGATGATCTTGCAACGAAAAGAGCTCTTCAATCAAGGTCAAAGTCAGACTTGAACTTAGAAAGAATTTTCTTGGAAATACTGATAAATAATTTCAATTCATATTCCTTTGATAGCAAATTCCATGAACATTGTGGATGGTGTGAAATTATAATAATAAGTGCACAGTGGACCATCATTTAACAAACGGATTGGTCACCAAATTTTTTCATTTTGACGAGAAATCCCTTGTTGAAAAACTAAAATTATGTTAACAAACTTTTTTTCTGGGAAAGATCCCAAATTATACAGTTTAAAATTTTAAATCTGATTTTAAGTCAGAAATGTATGGTACACTCAAATTTTAAATGATTCACCTATGCACTGGAATGAAAATTCTGGTCTTTTGACACTCTAATATGAGTAATCTTGTTTATGAAATTTTCAGCAATATTGTGCATAAATTGTAAATGCTTTTCTGTGACAGAATTATTTTCTTACCTGTATGTGGTTTGGTTAGTTGTTCAGTTGTTAGAAAGCTGGTCTATTGAATCTTTACTTGCTGTAATAAAAATAAATTTCATTTCCCCTGACCTGTAACCTACAACAGTGTGTATTTTTGCGGATGTGAAACTGTTTTTTCTCATCTGTGCTACTTCCAAATAACAAAAAAAAATGCTGGAATAACATAAGAGGCAGCAACAAATTATCCTGAGTATACCTGATGGTCTTGAATTTTTTTCGAATGTTTAATTGTTTTTTGGGCTCACAGAATGGATTAAATTTTTTCCCAGTGAAGTCAATGAGAAAATCGAATTTGGTCAACAAACTTCTCTTTTGAAACCATCAAATTCCTTAACCAAGGGTCGACCACTACCAAAACAGTACAGTATGCTGAAAGCTTTTACTCAGTGAATGACTAAATGAGGTTTGATCCTGTGTTTCCTTGAAACCTTCTAAAAAAAGATCTGCAAGGTATTTGAAAGTTCATTTAGACTCAGCTTGACTGCATAGCCAAAATTGAAATTTTATTACTATCTTGCATTAACGTTCTTTGAATGGAGCTTTCTCCCACAATCGGTCACTGCAATTTTCTTCGCACAAATATTTTGAAAGCTGACGTTGTGCTGCAATTTGACTCAAGAATCCTCCTGTGATTAACTTGCGATGCTTTTTTTTGCGAAGCAAAATGCTAGTACTGTATCACGGGTTTTCTTAAGCTCTATTTTGTGCTACAACTCGCAAATATTTTCGATTGAGTTTAAGGAATAAGCAGGTGCACCATTGCAAAATTGTATTTTTCACGGAGCAATTCTCTTACTGAGTGCTAAAAAAATATGATCCCTTTTCGAATCTTGCTTGATTTATTTTATACTTCTTCATATACAAGGGGAATAAAAAAATTCTGCACCTGGGACATACATTTGGCGGTATCTACGATACTCTCATCAGATTTATAGCGCAATTTCTGCTGTAAATTGAAAATTTTTGATTCCGAGCATTTCAATAAAAAGGCCTCAACCGGTGAATTCCGGATTATAAAATCTGTTGATGAGAATAAGCCATGTTTCTACGGTGATACATCCTGAATGGATTCAAAATTTTATAACAGCGTCACTTGAAATTGAGAATGCATCTGAGAATCATGGAATACAATTTTTTAATCACTGTACGGAATATGCAATTTTCTGTGGCGATCGAATTCCGTGATGGGAGCAATTATTTTGGAATTTGGCCTGAGCAGTATATGTGTTTCACTTGATTATTTCTGTCACGGAAAAACCACGCATCACGTATCGAAATTGACCGACATCCGCTTGGAAATTAAATTGGAATAAAATTCTCTCTGAAAATTTGACCACGTATCGCCATAATGAATAAGTTTTGGTTCAAACCAAATCGGAGCCTCTGACTCGAATAATACTGTGATGCAAGCATATTCATTCAAGGCTTCATTCAAGCATTTCTATGGCTTGGATAATTGCAAAACATTGTTTTCAAGAATCTGAGATTCTTGCCGCTTCTTCCAATCAATCAGAAGAAAATTTTGGCAAATGTGTTTCATCAGGGACCACAAGATTTCGTCAAATCCCCAAAGACACAGTACGTTCACGCACACTAAAATCGAACAAACACACTCTTCCCTATAACTGAATGACGACGAAAACAGGTCACAAAAACCTGACAGAAACCTGATTTGAAAACAATCCCACAATCATAAAGCACCAAAAAACACTTCGCTTTGTCTGACGATCTTGTTCTGAACAAACTCTTGAATTTCTACCTGAAAAAGTTAAGCATTCATTTTTCTTACGGTGAAAACCAATCGCCATGAAAATACAATGTTGAGACTTGGTCTAGGCCGCAAACGGCCTATTGTGTTTAATTTTGTTGTTGTATCAATTTCTTTTTCAGGACCTATGGGTCTCTGACATGTTTCTCGCAAAGTGGGACTGATTTTCTGCACATTTCCCAAAAATACACCAGGACTTACGTATTTTATATATTTGTCGGCCAAATTAATGGATGCTGTGAATTTCAGAAATCTACGTAAACAATACAAACCTTTCAACAAAAATTTAGATTTTACTCATGAAAATAAAGTGTTTCGAGTTAAAATTCCGCAATTAAGCCCAACACCGAGAATGCACAGTTGCATGACTTTACCGGACTGAGTTACTCGATTATGTGTTTTTCACAGACCATGAAAAACAATATGTTTTCGAAAATATAAAATTATGTATGCTGTATTTCCTTTTTCCTGGCTTATCAAAGTTTGACTAAGAAAAATCCTGAGTGTTTCTCTATGTAAGATACAATTTATTTGCATGCGTTTCGCCAGATTTTCTATAGGAGTCCATCCATAAATATAAGAGGCTTTTTTTACGGAAAGGCCATGCACCAGTAAATTTACAGTAATAAACAGGCCAGATAATTGCAAAATTTGCAGAAATTTTAATTTTTTCATCTACCGCTATGGTCCTTATAGTCGATTCAAACGTGCATACCTTGCAAAAATTCGCTAACAATAAAAAATTATACTGTATGAAGTATACTGTACGTTTCCTTTCCTTAACTGAATTCGTTCATAATTCAATTTTTCTAAAATTTGAGACGATACCTTCCAAATTTTGAATACATGTGCCTAAAATGATGAGAATACTAATTCAAAGTGCGAAAAAATGTGGAAAGCCCGTCAGATCAAGTTTGATTTTTTGTGACCAAATTGAAAAATGTCAGCGGTTACTATATTCGAAATATTGCCGTTGAACTTAAATTGTCGACATTTTCCTCGAAGGATTTCTTAGAAAATATACAAGTACGTAAGAAAATTATTCAAGAGCTTCTAAACTGAACTTTCTTTCAAGTGTATTTTGAATTCTTCATCTTGAATGATCTCTCGAATGATTTCAGTCATAAAAACTTATATATTTTCCGGGCATTCCGGTGCAATTCTAATCGATTGAATACAGCTCAACGTTGTATTTATGAAAAAATAGTCAAAATTTTGATTCAAAACGGGACATCTTCTTCAAATTATTCGAAAGTAAATCACGGCTGAATGGTTCAATGGAGGGAAAAATATTGACCTTGATTTTCCTCGATAGTTCCGCATCCATGAATTCGAATTCCATCACTGAATTGCGCCTTAGAGTTCTGTTCAAGCCCCGCCCAATGCAGTCAATATTTCGGAATCTAAATTTTTGGGGAAAAATCTGGCCCTGCTCCTCCGCTTGGATGAAGAAGTATAAACAGAATTTTTGAACTACTGTCAATTTTTTGACTCAATGGAAATGAAATGGAAGAAAGACTGGAAGTGCGCATCATCGCTGCAGGGAAATGATTTATCATGTTTCATGAACTCATCCAAAGTCTGAGTGACTCGAAATTTTCAAATTCTAAAAGCTGTATTTCCGTGTATTTCCGTGTCTGTGCCGAATCTGACATTCGTGATTTAATACAGTGTTCCCTGACCTTTTTGGGCTTGTCGATTGGGAAATTTTAATAAAATCTTTTGCAATGTCTCAGGCATATTTTCAAAAAATTTTCTGTAGACCAGCAACCCTCCATATAATTTTTAATGTCCAGCAAACATTTTCTAAATGCCTGCTGTACACCAGTCCTCAGAACAAAGCGTTTGGTGCAAAAAATGCATAAATGCAAATTTCCAAATAAGCACTCGCATGAGGTGATTGTTTCTGATGGTGACTGAAATAATTGGAAAGCACTTGTGAGAATATTTCCATGCAGTTGAAGCTAAAAGAGAAGAAGATTGAAGCAATTCCGGCCTGCACCTTTCAAGGAGACAATTTATTCATCCTTGTCCAGCACATTGACTATGAAACATTAGATTCTCGAAAATAAAAGATTCAGTCAATGTATACTTCAAATACGGATATGCGCAATTCACGCCAAAGACATGCACAAAAACTCCGTGTTCAAGAGCTCAAGAAAGCGCTAAAGGAAAATGTTAATTTTAAAAGTTATTATCTTGCCACTTCTTTCAAGTCGACGGTTTATTGTACTGAAAGTGGAGAGTTTTTATCTTATCTCAAGAGGCGCCACGTTTTTTGCATTTGTGTGGTTCTTTCAGCTTATCGTGAAGGTCATCCATTTCAATTGAAATCATAGACCTGTATTTTCAACCGGAATAAAATGAGATGTTAAACATATAATCACTTGAGCATAGAAATTATTTTTTGGTACCGTCATGTTAAAATATTTAGTGAATTACAATAAGCGGCAGTTTTTTTCTTGTCAATGGTTTCATATGCTTTCAAACAATTTTTTGCTGCAGGATCCTCAAAATATGAATATTATATAAAACGGTACCGCATATTAATGGCAATTTGAATATAAATAAGAAGTAATGTCATATATATTTTAATTTGAAGATGATATGGGCTTGGTCGTAAAGCCGTGCCACAAAAAAGAATAACCTGAAAAGGATACTTTTAGTTTCAATGAAACAGTTTCGATTTTTGTAATTTATATGATCTGTGAATCTTTCCATGCACTTGCTGATCTAGATCAGGCAGAAAATTTTAGTGTTTTCAACAAAATTTTGAATATCGCGGCAAAAGGGTTCACTCTCCTGAATTTCAACCCAATTTTAAGAAGAAAATGCTACCGGAATCCGGTCATCCAAAAGAGGTCGTTCACATCTGAAGGAAGAGAAGGACTACATAAATACTAGACTGCGTAATGGAAATTTGAATTGGAACCGGAGAAAATGACTTGAAAAATGACAACGGTGGATTTTTCGTTCTTTCTCTGCATTTCCTGCTGACACAAGCTGGTTTTATTTTCGTGCAAGTCACGTGACGAACGATTTCCAGAACTAATGTCACCAAAACTTGAAAAAAAAAAAATTGATTCCTGGATGGTAACACAGAAGGCGGAAGTTTTCTCGTATGTCAGTAATTCCCGATTTGACCTTGAGGTTTCATTGCACTGCATTCAAATGGGTTCGAGATGAGATTTAAGACCCTTCTGGTCGACACAATATTATAATGCCACTCCCCAAATCCGCTATCTGATCACTGTCAGATTTATTCGACTGTACTGTACACGGAAAAAAATGATGAAAATGCCCATTTTGAATTGCAAATCTTCTGAGCGATTATTCAGGTCTTCAACCCAATTCGTGAGAAAATCGGGTCGAACGAAAAGACGAGTACTTTTGCCTGATCGCGTAACCCAGAAATCGGTTAAAATGCTGGCGTTTCTTTTTATTTGTTTCAGCTTGGGAAAACGTTGCCAGCGTATCGAAAGAACGAAACGGAAATAACGTTTCCGGTTATGATCGATGATGAGGATTTGTCCGGAAGTATTTTCCTTCCGGGCTCTTTGGCAAAACCGCAGCTCCGAAGACGAGATTCCAGTGACAATACAGAAGACTTATTTGACGAACAAGGGATCATACTTTCTACTCCGGGGGTATCCTTGTTCTATTTCCTGAATACTTCAAGTTCCCAGAATCTTGAAAGGTAGGTGATGTTGATTTGATATATGTCTCGGCATTTCGAACGTTTTTTTATGGTTTGTACAGTCAAATTTCTCATTTCTAGGAATCAGAAAAAATTGACTTATATTAGGGAGCTTTTGAGTTAGGAAAATAAATGTTTTTGTTGTGGGAAACTTAGAATTGCCGGAATTGTAAATGTTGATATATTTTCAAGGGCCTTGGATGGCCTCTCAAAAGAGTTGACAGGATGCTTAACTTGGTCAATTAGTCTTTCCCTTTCTTTCAAAGCACATAAAGTTACTTTCTTTTGCTTTTCTACTTCCTGTGTCTATGAAAAAAATTGGCAAAAAATGGCAACTTCTAGAGGTTTGAAACAAAAAGCCATTGAGTTAGGGAGGTTTTTGATGGCTTGTCTACATGGAAATTTAGATTGTAACTTTGAAAAATTCAAATTAGGGAAGTATTTGACTTAGGGAGGTCTGAGTTATCAAGGATCAACTATATTACCTGCCTGAAGCCATAACAAGTTTTCAAAGATCCTGCCTGTGGATTGAAAAATTACATTAAATCCTCTCTTTAGTGCCACCATTGGTCTGATCCAATTTATGGAAATTAAAAGGGGGCATTGCCAAGTCAAGGTCTTATAGAGAAGCTGTAAAGATGAAGTAGGTAGATCTGATCAGTTAACATTTTTGTCACATACTGAGTGTTCAGTTGGAATCTTGTGGAACTAAATAAGAGGCTGATATCAGTTGCAGCTTGCAGGTTGGTGTCAATCCTTTGGCAACAGACCCGGGATCTTTCTGAAAAACAAGCCACCTGAAAGGGTCAAAATATGTAACTTCAAATAAGCATCTGAAATGACTAAACATACAAACTACTTTCATGACTATCCAGCAGATTCAAGAAAGTCTGGCTCTTCAGAATTTTCTGAAAATTCAACAAGAACCACAAATGCTCAAAGGTTTTATCTCATACATGCATTCTTTCAAACATATTCAAAAAGTGACTCTGAGAGATTTTTAGACCAACTTAATTTCAGCAACCAAGTAGATCAAAGTACACAGCAATCCATTGCAACAAGGATTCATTTCAAAGTTTGGGAGATGAATTAAAAGAAAGATGCAAAACATCAATATTCATAAACTTCTTTGAAGTGGGTCATTTTTATGTGCATAAAGTAGTTGCCTATTTGGATCAATATCAATTGTCAACAGACTTTTTGCAACATATGTTTTGAAAAGAATGCGTGAGGAATGTGTTCTGGTGAAAATGAAATTGCTTGAAACATAAAATAAATCCAATTGTGTGAATGCAGAGAGGTATCACAAGTAAATTCATTGCATTCTAGTCACATGGATATGAATACATCTTACAGGCCAGACAAGGAAGCATTTGAATGTTTTCTGTGCAGAAATTGTTTGGCAGACCAGGAATGGTCTTTTCAGCCTTCAAGAAAATGAATCACTGGAGAGGGCCCCCCCCCTCTCCAGTGGGTGTCTTTTGGACAAAAGACACAAAAGATGGGTGTCTTTTGGACAAAAGACTGCCCATACTGGTCAGTGGGAGTCTTTTGGACAAAACGTTTTGCATTTGGCTTGTAGAAAAATCTAAGTGCTCAAGTGATGATTTAGTGCCACTTTTGAAAAGTATTTGGTATGCACAATGCATTCCGAGTTTGACCAAAAATTGTGTTCACTTTATTGAATAAAATATTAATATGCTGATTCACTGTATTTTCACGTGAAGCATAAATATTAAGTTTTGACCTCATTGTGATGTACTTCACAGTAACAGGTTCTCGTTTGTCCAAATACTCTTCTTTTCCATATACAATATTCAAATCAATTGGAATTATTCTGCCCATACTGGTCAGGGTTGTAAACTGCAATTAAAAATATACTTGCACAACAATCACAATCCAGCACCAAATAGATTCCAAAATCAAAATTGCAATCACAATAAGGCACTGATGTTTTCCCCAATTGCTATCACAATGCCTTTCTTTGTATTTTTGCCCAATCACAATTGCAAGGGTTATCACAACTCTTTTCAAGATTTCCATCCTGTGCTTTTCATATTTAGTATAATCATCCCTGATTAATCTCAAATTATCTCCACAATATCAATCTTGTGAATGTATCGAGAGAATAACAAAGAAAATCTAATCAAAACCATACATTTGCATCTGAGCGATGTCATCTTTTCTCATTCCATTTAGATTCTCAGCAGACAAAAAACAGAAAACATCTGCCTTGATAAAGGAGTAAAGTACTGAATATTCTGAATAAAGATAAATAGCTTTTCTGAAGTATTGCCCAAACTATTTCATCGAAGTGAAATTACCAATGAAAAAATACTAAAAGCTTCTTTCTGTGCCAACCTGCCTCCAGTTGAAGCCATAAAAATCAATGTATCCTCTTCCATCTAGTAACTTACACAGTTAATGAAATAAGTTCATCATTTTTCATTGATTGTTGATCATGGTTTAATTCATTTTCCCCAAGAAAAATGCGTACACTGCTCAAGTTATTTGGTACTAGTTGTGATTGTGATTATGTCAGTTTTACCCCATTCACAAGTACAATTGAAAGCCATAAAAAAATGCACAATTGCAATCACTACCGCAATGAGTGAAAAAATGTATTGCCCAATCACAATTGCAAGGGTTGGGATTGTGGTTGTGATTGTGCTAAGTTGTGGCACAATTAACAACCCTGGTACTGATACAGTATTTTGGAATAATGGAAGGAACAAATACTGGATTCAAAACATTAGGGACAGAAAACAAGGACAAGGCTGGTCATACAATGTTTACAAAATCCTCTGTGGCTTACAACAGAAAACATGCAGTGAGATCCCCTCATGCAGACACCTTGACCTGCAGACAATTTGACATAGGGACACTTAATTTATTTTAAAAAATTAATAAAAAAGGCCCAACATGAGGACACTGACTCAACATAGGGACATTTTGTTATAAAATTGCCAATACATTTCAGGTCAAATTACAAGAAACAGATATTTCCAACCCTAAAATTGATGTAAGAAAAGTTCTTGGGCATTTCTCTCACCAATTCACNTCCAGCATAGAAAAATTGATGTAAGAAAAGTTCTTGGGCATTTCTCTCACCAATTCACCATTCATTTAGCTAATTTGAAGAAAATTCCTCCAGCAGAGAGGGACTTCCTTTTCTCTTTTTTACTTGAATATTATTTTTTGCAGAGAATGCCAAAATTTTCTATGTACTGTAAAGAGGTATCAGTATTCAATTCTCCAAATGCCCAGCATATTGGGTTGAAATACTGTAAATTGATTGGAATCAGTTTAAATTGGGAGACAATTTTTATTTTCACGGAATTATGGTGAGTATTTTGTGCATAAAACACCAATTAAATATTATATAATGTGAGTCTGAGGGAAAATGAGAGTTGACTTAGGGACATTTCGACTTAGGGACACTCATCATTCACCAATTATGTCCGCATCTTGGGGTCTCACTGTATATCAAATTTTTTTTATGAGGCAGCGAGTTATTATGAAGAAATTTTGTTAATGAAATTAAATTTTTTCCAGTAAATTTTATCAGTGAGCCAAAATAAATGAATACTTATGTGAGTTATGGTGGATTCTCAATGTGAACTTGTGCGTCATTCGAAAGAATTACTTCCAGTTTGGTCAAGATTGTAAATTCTTATTCATTGAAATTTTTAAAATATTCACGAAGTAATCAAGACTTGGAAGATATAGAGGAGACATTAGATGATTGTGGTCAGCACAGCAGTCACACCAAGTGTACCATCATGGTACTCTAGTTTAATCTGGAATTTTATATCTACCACATTATTCGCTCTTAAAACAATAACAAGTCCCACAATCAACAAGTAAATGAGATATTAAACGGAATTTGCATACTTACAACGTTAAAAAAGTAGAGGCAAAGAAGATTCGACGCAGTTACTTTCGTATCGAAGATTGTCAGTCCCCAAGTGACCTTCTAAGTTACGTTTATGTGCTGATATACAGTAATTAAGCCAGTTGGCGAAACGGCATTTTGTATTCCAAATGATATTAAAAGAAGAATAAAAAAATACATACATTCCCTGGGTCTTTTTATTGCAGCCATTTATGATCAAAACTCGAATAATACCTGGTATTCCTGCTATATTGCGCCTCAGGCTTGGGGAAAACCTGAGAAGACGTGACGGAAAACGTTAATTCTTCAGAAGTGATTATCAAAAAGGCTATAGGGGCAAACCCCAGGAAATAATTTGAGGATGTTGAACTCTAGTCTTGACTGCTGCCCTGAGGCACCGCAGAACAGGCGAAAACTTTCGGAGCCCATTTATTTCTACCTACGCAGTATATCCTTCCGTGAACCCGAACCCCATTCAACGCACAATTCATGGAACTCGGCCACCACGTGTTTTTCGATTTATGTCAGTTCATTGTCGCCTTCCCAGAATTGGTTCACATCAGATTAAAATCGAGTTGTCAACACGTCGTGTCGGGTCTCTGTTTGTGAGATGATTATTCCTGAATGGATGGGAATAATGCCTGATGGGGTGATTAGGGATGAACACTGCGGGCTTTGTTTTAGCCTCGAGCGTTTTAATCTGTTTTCTGTAGGGAATATTTTTTTTACTGCTACAATTTGAGAATATTACCAATTCCTAATGCTTAGTGGCAGGCTCAGTAAAAAAAAAAAAATTACCTCCTTTCTCTTCTTGTGAATTCCTGAATGTTATTATTGAGGCACAGTATCCGTTATGCTTAATGTTGGTGGAACCCGGGGGGGGGGGGGGGGGGGGGGGGGCGGTTGTTGGGGCCGACTCAAACGAAAGCCCATAAATAATGATACTATAATGTATTATAAACCACCCTGCATTCTTCTTACAAGTGCTGAGGCTTGAGCTGGGGAACCAGAACTCGGGCCCACGGACGTCAGGTCCCATGACCCTGAATTCTGGTCCCGTTTTCCTTCCTGCATCCTTTCCGTGGATGCAGGACTTCTTCATGACTTTTCTCCCACCTATCAGGGATGGGGAAACATATGCGGCATGCTTTGGTCAGCGGACCTGACCTGAGCATTGTGCTGAATTGAATAAAAATGCACTGTTTTTCCTTCCCAATAATCAGTTCATTAATTTAACTCTTAATATAGTCTTCTCTCAAACAGTTCAACCCCAATTCTTTTGAATGTATTATTGCATTGCATTACTGCACCCTAAATTTGTTTGCAGAAATTCATTGTATTCATTGAATGGGTTTTGCATTATTATATTTATTGTGATGCATCATTTTTGTATTTTTTTCAATTTTGATTTATTTTGGACTGTTATCGAACAAAAAAAAACCCTAATGAAGGTACCCCCTCAATTACATATTCCTGGCTGATTGCCCTGCCTTAGTATTTCTTACCATTTCTTCCACTGCATTATGGTTCAATTCTTTTTGTTGGGTTGATTAATTCCTCAACAGCAGCTTGTAGAGAAATCAGCACCAAATAGCTTTCCCCCAAGAACTTTCAAATATTGTATGATATTGCTGGCGTCATCTTTGGTTTAGGTGTAAATGGCCAATCAGGAAGCAGCAAAGAATCCCAACCTTCACCAAGAAGAAGTTCAACACAACCCTTCCTCAATAAAGCATATAAGCGTCAAAAATTGTATTCAACAGGACATTCTCATTCAGAAGGTTATTCACATTCCTAGCTTCCCCTGCTTGAACCAATTATCCAATGAGAAATTGTGTGAATTATTGTGAGTGTGTGTATTTCTCTTGAAGAAGATGCCAACTTGTTGATTCTTTTGGTAGATTAATTAAAATTAATTTCTTTGACGTTTGATTTTCGTTATGGTTTTTTTACCAAGCCACATAAAGAAGCTTCCAGCCAGACTCAGGTTGATTTTGGTGTTTTACTAATAAAATCCCTTTGTGAAATACCTAACAAATGTACAGTACTGTAAAAAGACAAAACTGTTTGAATGAAAGTTTCTTCCATGGCAAAAACCTTTTCAGTTTCTTAAAAAAAACAAGAGAAGCTATATTATGACAATCTAAAAAAAAACCAGTCCTTCCACAAATTTCAATTCTGGATTTGTGACTACTGCATATACAAGTATACCACATCACTGAAGAGTGGTTTGTTCTTATTAATTTGATCAGAAATATTTTGAAATGTTTTTGTCTCTTTTTTGGCATCAGGGACAAGTTTGACACGCAAGCAAATTGTTTATATGTCTTTGAAAGTTTTGCTTCCACTTTTGACGCGCAAGATGTGGATCCCAATTTTTGGTCTTCATCATCAGGACAAAATTTGAAGGTTTTAATAAGAAATGCGCCAAACAGTGCATCAATTCATTGCCTGATTGAAAATGATGAAGTATACTTATATTTTCACATCAGATACCACACTTTTGAACTAAATGTGTCCAGTGCAAAATTGCATCCATGACTGTACAGTATGTACTGTGCTTGTGCATTGGCATCATTGTTTGTATACCAAGATAAGAATCAGGCTGAGTGCTGGAATGTCAAACTCAATACTCATGTGAGAGGAGAATTCATCAGAAAATTCCATTGTTCATTTCCATTCATTGCTATTGATAATTTTCAATGGGTCATCTGTGGTTTAAAAAAGCTATTGCTGGAGAAGTGGCCATGTGTATCACGAAATTCCAGAGAAATACCCCAGAGCAATTTTCAAGAGTAATAAAGTTGTACAAATACTATACTGTATTAGCTGGGCTGTGGTTGGAAAAGTTGCCCTTTCCATATAAAAGGTGGGATATGTAGCAATTTTTACGAAAAGAAGGTTGAAAACACCATCAAACCTTATTGTCAGGTTCAAATACCGTCGAGCAAATATTCTACTGCACATTGTCAATCCTTTCTCATTTTCTGAAAAAGTGAATGTATTGTTGTACTTTGGACCGTCTCAACTATTCGAAATGCTTCAAATCTTCAATTATGGTTTTCGGGAGCAGGAATTACCTGCATTACGAGAAACGGTTCATCATCGGATTTTTAATTAATTTGTTCAATCAATTCCAGAGCAAAGCGGTGGGAACACAATTTGATGGCAAAGATCAACGACTTCTCAAAATCTTTGAATCATGTCGATGTTTACTACTTCACGGGATCAACTTTTGCTGACGAGTCTTTGCGAATTGGACTGAAGATGATCCCGATCTTCGGCTGCGCTACAATCGTGGTCTTCTTCTATGCACTGTTTTCTGGACTTATGCGAGACCCGGTAAATAATTCATGAGATTTGAATAACATTCAGCATCTGTAAATACTGCAGTATCGTGAAATGCATTTGTACGATTCGCGCGAATTTCGAGTGCATGAATAGATTTAGCAGAATGCGTGGGATGAGTAGGCAGGAAAATATTTCATTCATATCATGAAAAATCGCATTTGATTTCAGATTCAGTCGAAGCCTTATTTTGCATTTGCTGGATTGACAAGTGCATCTATGGCCATCATATCAACTTTGGGCATTACCTGCACAATGGCTGTGCCCTTCACAGGGTTGTCCATGTCTGGCCCATTGCTGCTTCTTGGTAAGTTGAGTATGATGTAAAAAAAACTATAAATTTGTAATTTACTTCTGAAATACACTTAATTTAAATCACACACTGGCACTTACATTCATAAATGGATAATAAGGTGGATTTCAGCCTTTGAATGAGAGTGCGAGATAATGGAGAGAAATCTTGCTGCAACACATTTTTTAGCCTAACAAACCTTTTCCTAAATTTCTGGCAGAAAGCACATAGGGTACATATTTAAACAATCTCATTATACCAAAATTCTCATTTCAAGTATGACAATATTTTTTGAGGAATTTTCAATAGATTTGCCAGGTAAAAATTTCTTGACTATAGCAGAGGCACAGTCATAAATTTTTGATCCCAAATGTGACTGACTGTTCCATGTAATCTTGTGGCATGGATGCTAGCTGTAATAAATGAGAAACATGCTTCCAAGTGGTTTCAAGCATCATCATCCCAAACGAAAGAGCCAGCAACTGATGGAATGCATTATGTTAGAAGCTATTTTTTGGATGATCACTTAGTTTTTCAAAAAATAAATAAAAAATGCAAGAATGCCAGAAAATTAAGATAAAAATTATTATAGATAGGTTCAATATGCAAATTTTCCTACCATTACTTTTGGAATTCTTGTCATTACAAATTACAGGTTACACCTGCACACTATATCTTTTGCACAACAGACCACCTCTGAAGGCAGTTTCCCCTCCTGCACAATGGAATAAATCTGCATAACAGATTTCTGGTGGTTTAAAATTGATGATTAAAAGTAAAAAATTTAATTTTTTAATGACTGAATTTGCATAACATACTTTTCACACAATAGTCTATTCTGTTGCACAAATCAAGTCAATGTTGCAGGGGTTAACTGTAATCAGTGCATGTGGTCCCTTGCAATTTGTCCATCCTGCAATTTGATAATCAGATTTTCTGGGAGGTAAAATTGCAATTATTAAACCTCTGCCTCACAATTCAACCAATAAACAAGAAATGAAAAATGCCTAAATCAATCTAGAAAACATTGTGTTTTCCTAGTCTCACAATTTTAGTGCTTCAAAATTCGATTTAAGCACAGCAATTGACTCAGGTCACATTTCAGGGTACCATCTGTATAAAAAACTTTTCCTATCTAGTCCCTAGAGCTTGTTGTAATAATATTTTCTTGCATTAAAGTAAAATTAGGTTTCAAGAAATGCTGTTACAAAAGTTTTTCAAGCACTGCATACATGGACATTTTTCCATGATGGAATTATCTTGAAAATATTTACTTTTACTTTGTTTTCTGTTTTCAAATAGGCATTGGTTTGGATGACACCTTTGTGATGCTGGCAGCCTGGAGAAGTTCCCCAAAGAACCTCTCTGCTGACAAAAGGCTGGCACATGCTTATTCAGAAGCTGCAGTTTCTTTATTCATCACCACAATGACAGACTGTATTTGCTTCATCATTGGATCTCTGACACCTTACCCAGGCATCAACTACTTCTGCTTACTCTCAGGTAAAATAAATCTCTGGCTTTTTTTTGGCATTTCTCAATTGATTTATTTCGAAAATTGAGTTAATGCTAACGATTTCCACACTAGGTATTGGGGTGATAGTTTTGTTGGCCTACCAGTTGACCTTCTTTGGAGCCCTCATGTATTTCATGGGGAAGAAGGAATGTGAAAACCGAGATGCTTTGACATTTGCGAAAGTATCTGCTCCGAAAGGTGAGATGGATTTCCCTGTGAATAGAATCCGTTCCACAGACAGTACTTTAGTATATTATTGATATAGTTAGGGCATTTCATTTGGCGATTATGAGCATTTAATTTACTCTTCGTGATCAAAAATCCTTTTTTGTTGCTAGACTGCCCAGAAATATATTACATCAAACGTAGAACTTTTTTTAGAATTTGAGATAAGTACAGCTCTATCCGAAGTATTATTTTAGAATTCATTGTGTCATACAATGTACATTATTTCAAAATTTTCTTTTTCTTTGAAAGTGTAAAATTAATTAATTGATGAAAATTGAAATAGATCTAAAATCTTTTCTATACTAACTGGAGACCAGATCTCTCATCAGATTACTCCGGAAATGAAATCCAGTGTCTTTTGCGATTTTCTACGAATATTTTTTTTTATCCCAAAGCGGGATTAGGTTTATTAATATTTCATCTGGTGCTGTGTATATGTTTGAACTTTTGGATTTAAGATGATTAGGAAGGATTTTCTGGGAAAACTGATCTGAATTTAAATTGAAAATTTTTTTTTTCAGATGGCGAAAAACCAACAGGTTGGAAATTCTTTCGAGATTACACGTTACCTGCTGCTCAATTGGAAAAGGCTATGGAGTCATCAGCCATGGCTTTCTTTCGTGACATCTGGGCACCGATTATTCTCCATCCTGTTTCAAAAGTAAGTTTTTTCTTTTCATTACGTATGCTTCTATCTACTTAGTTTTTTCTCGAATTTTTATAAAACTTATTCTCCAAACTAAAATATTTAAAAAGGGTTTTGCATGATTTTTCCGAAGAAAATATCACTTGAAGGAGTGTTAAGAACAAGCTTGATTTAGTTCTTGAATAAGTGATAAGATGTGAGGAGTTACAGTATTTCTCTTTTCCACAACTTTGCTGAGGCATGCTGTTGACTGAATAAATTGCACCGAAGTACGCAGTAGCAATCAGTGCAATAATCTATAATGTTTTTCGATTTCACTCTATACGACGGCATGCATTGAAATTAACTGTATTGATAAATAATTGACCTGTTTCAATTGAGCTCTCATTCTGACCGTTTCAAAAAATCCGGCTCCTCAAATATTAAAATAAAAATGCATTCAATTTAATACATTCGGATGGATTGGTGCTTCGTTTCATTGATGTTTGATTAACAAACGGAAATATTGAAAGATTCCCAAGGGGTTGCATGGGTTCCCAGCTCGAGGGTTATCTAAAACTGATTGACTGACTTTTTCATGCGAACAGTTCGAAAATCGCCTTAATTTTCAGGATTCACCTCCTGAAGAATCTTGAGTGTTTTCCGAAAATTGAACAAACTCTCATTACTTGTCAGTTGTTGCTGGAAAATCTTGAATGCGACTTTAATATTCTATTCCTCAAATTCTTTGCAGACTCTGACGGTTTTGCTGATGATCGGGTACCTGGGAATATCTGCCTACCTGGCCTCGGGGCTGGAAGTGAGCTTTGATAGAAGTTACCTCGCTGATCCTGACTCTGACGCTGTCAAGTTCTTCACTCAGGAAGAAGAGCATTTCTTTGACTGGCCTGCTAGACCAATGGTAATTCTTTTTTTTTCAAGTTGCAATTTCATGCATCGCAGACAAATTATTAAAGTCAATAGTTCACGAAAAACCTTGAATTTATGTCTGAAACGCGAAATAATTTGTAAAGCAATGATGCATTTATCATTTACGACGCGCGGATTTCTTTCTTGAACCTCCATAAATCCTGAAAGAACTTCGGTGAGTTTTTTCTCTGAATTTATCTCAATTATAAAAATTCAAATATTTCTTACATGAGGAAATCAGTCAATTTTGGGGGAGATATATAAGCATATATTATGGGGCAAAGGCCAGTAAAAAACGAAATTTAGATACAAGAAATAAATCACAAACACAATCCGCCAGGGAACTCGGCAGGGGATACATTGGTGCCTTACATATAAAATTCACAATATCATGCAGCTTATATGTATTTCCAAATGTTAATAAGATATGTGTGAGAGTTTATGTGACCAGGAAATGAGGAGGCAGTTAATTAGTGGAAGACATTTAATTGTATGTTTCGTGTTTGGCATCAAATGGAATCCGAGAAAATGAAGGATGATGAAGTCACAGTGGAATAAAAAAATCCAGGCTTTTAGAAATTTTAGAAACATACATTCAACCCCTGCCAAACGGACTTAGTCTGTGCAATAATGTAATCTGTTGTGTGAAAAGTCATTTATGCAAATTAAATTGAAAAAAATTAAAAATGTTACTTTCTACCAGCAATTTTAAACCGAAAGAAGTCTGTTAGGTGGATTTAGTCTGTTTCATGAGAGGAAAAACTACCACCAGAGGCAGTCCGTTGTGCAAACATGCGTTGCACAGGAGGTCTGTTGTGTGGGGGTTGAATGTAAAGTATAATCAACGGATCACCTTGAATATATATGTTCAAGTTTCTTCAGAATGATTTAATGTGCAATTTGATGGAAAAGAAGGGATGCAATTCACAAGGAACACTGAAAAAACTACTCAAGAAAATAAAATAAAATTGTTCCATGATCCAAAAATGAAATATGTAAAGATGAAGAAGGAATGAGAAAAGATAAGTGATTCCTCACAAAGAAGGATGTGGGTAGACTGACTATAGACTCTCAAAAGAAATTAAAATTTGGAGGAGAGAGAAAACCTTCACCAGGTTTTTATCAGTGCATTCTCTCCACAGCAAGAGTGTTTCTAAGAAAGACATTCATGGAAAATTAAACATGTAACACGTGAGAACAAGGAAGTGTAAAATTCACATTGAAGCGGAATTCATTCTTTGCACGAGTAATAAAACATCCTAGTAATAACCTTATTTACTGCCATTGATCATCTGTAATTTAGAAAGCTTGCTCTATATCTCTGTCCTTCATCTTAAAATTGAGGACTGGTGAAAATGTCTCTCCAAGCAAGGGTATACTGTAGTAATGTACTGTACCTAAGACAATCGGTCATCGTTAAAATGTCCGTGATAGTCTGGGAACTTGTTTTAATCCATAGTCAGTATCTTTTTCATCTCGTAAATCAGTCATTGACTGTGAGTACTGTTCTTTACTGTTGCCAGCTGGGAGAATAAGGACTACCTGGACTGAATGTAATTTTTTTTCACAATTATTTTATTCCGACAGATTGGGGTTTTTGGGGATGTGGACTATTCTGACAGAGTTGTTCAGAAGGACATGGCTTTGCTTTTGGGTGCTGTGGAAAACAACCACATGTTCGCAGGATCCTTGTTTTCAGATTTCTGGCTTCAAGACTTCCTTCAGTTCGTGAAAATCAATGATTACTACGAACCGATGGACATATCCAATGAACAGGCCTTCATCGACGTGCTCAAAACGGTATGCAAACATGGAATTGACTTTTATTCGATTTCCGCTTTGTAATTCAAGAGACGTAACGATGTACTTCAAGTTTCTTCCTTAATTTAACCGAGCAAACACGAGATTAATTGCCTGATTATGCCCTCTATTTATCCATGCCAGGAATGAAAAATGACGCTCTTTTTACCGCGTGTGATTCCAATTGGAGAACCACAACAGAAATAATTGGAAATGATGGGAACATGATTGGAAAAGTCATAATAATAGTTATAGAGGTGATATACAGTACTGCACATCATCACAATCAAGGCTGAATATCAGCATTACAAACGTTAGAAAGAAAATGTTTTAATAATTCGGAAGACTGTATAAAGGGTGATGCGATTCCAAAAATGTTTGCCATCTCATCTGGAGTAATTTCAAGTTTGTTGGATCTTCCCAGGGATATAAAAAGTCTGCAAAAACATGTTTAAAATTTTTTGCATTTTTTGGCAGATGCAGCCATGCAGGTGAGTAATAAAATTTTGAAACATTTTAAAAATTTGTTCTGAAAGTGAATAATGTACAGTATAATTTTGTGACAGTAAATCCAGTTATGAAATGATTGTTCTTAGTTCCCACCAGTTTCTTTTGTTGTCCAATCATCCAAATGGAAGTGCAACTTTGCACAAAACAATATGCACAGATTATACATTTCAGATATACACTTGAACAAATATTATTACCAAATACCAATACAGAGTTTCCAAAGGAAGTTTTGTCAAATACTTGCAAGACTTCCTGAGAATTAGCAGCAATAGAGCTTGGATTAATTCTGGGGATTAACCCAAAGAGGAGGGTAAATATATTCACTGTATAGGGTTGGAGGACTTAAGGGCAACTGAGATTCCTTACATTCTTTATGAGTTCCAAGTCTCATGAGTGGTACATGGTTAATAAATGCAGATATATGTGTCATAAATATTTGTATATAGACTCTATTGATCTCATAGATATTTTCTCTTAAATTTCATATTTGAAAATAATTATTTGCATGCCTCATGAATCAGTGTTGAGAGCAATTAGAAGAGTGTATCTGCTTCACTTGAAGAAAATTGTCAAGCATTAATGTGGGTAGCATGCACACGAAGGAATAAATACCCAGGAAACAGCTGCGCAGGGGGAAAATGGTGTCTTTCTCCATGAACATGAAGAAGGCAATTTTAATGAGGGAATAGCCTTGCAGCAAGTGTACATGTTTTGTGGGTAACACTTTAAAGGGATAACTTTTTAAACATTTAATACAAATTAATTTTCTTCCATAATCTTGATATTATGCATTTTTTCTATGAATATGTGTACATGGACCATATATATTTCAACTAATATTGGCCCAATACGTTTAAACCCAACTTGCATGATTGAAAAGCCTTCAAAGATTATAAATGCCACATTTTTGCACAGAAACTTTAGGATTGAGAAGCTCTAAAAATGAATCTAAACTTAATTTAGAATTTTGATATGGCTTATTTGAAAATGTATCTTCTAAACTCTAAAGAATACTTTACTCTTCTTTTTCAGGGAACATACAGTTGACAGTGAATGAATGCTCTTCTCACACATATATTTTCTATATCTTTTTCAGGTTATATTTCAGCAAGATCAGTACACTTTGAGAAAATTCCTGAAGATTAAGGATGGTCTGATGCACTGTATAAGCATTGCACTTCACATAAATTTTACTCTTTCGTCAAAAAGGGATACAATGGCAATTCTTCTCATGTGTACTTTAATGTATTTTTCACTTTTTCTCCGCAAAATTTCAGCCCTACACGCTCAAAGGACCAGAAATCTCATTATAACGATTTTGTGTACAATATAAATATGTTCTAAAGTCTTGAGAGCTTTTGTAGGGATTTTTTGATGCAAGAGTAGCAGATGAATGTGTCTAAGGAATGAAGCTTAAAGAAAAAACGTCTAAGTTTTATTGCTTTTTATTTTCTATTTTTAGAAATATTTAACCCCGGATAATGTGATGTCAAAGGACGTGGTGTTCAATGAGAACGGAACAAAGATAGTGGCGTCCAGGTTCATCGTTCAAGTGGCGGACCTGAGTTCCTTTGGCGAGTTGACGGACTCGATGACATTCTTGTGGCGCCTGACCGACACTTACAAGGATCGCTACGACATCCGGGTTTATCATCCCAGCTTTCGGTGGGCTGAGCAGGTGAGGGAATTGAATAGACTGCGGTTTTCGTTTGCAGGAAAAATAATTTCCTCAACCAAAATGTCTACGGATATGCGGCGGATGTTATGATGTATATATAGTGGCTTAATATGTAAAAAAAATTGATAAATGAAATGCATTATTTCGAATTCTCCTTTGACTTTTGAGAGACTACCATTTTGATTTCGGCTGTTGTTTTACAGAGGTAAATTACTGTGCTTACTATATATAAGCAGCGCCGAACGGATCTGAATTTGTTTTTTTTTTTTAACTTCCAGTAGAATTTTTGGACTTATTCATCCGACTTTTTATTCATGCTGAAAAAGCAGCTAATTTTTGTAAACGAAAATATCCACAGATTGCGGATGTGATGAAGTACTCGCTCATGACAGGCACTGCTGCAGCAGTGTCAGTGCTGGGAATTTCCCTGCTGCTGATCCCTCGTAAGGGCGTCTCTGTTTGGATCGCTGGGTCCATCTTGTCCGTCACCCTGGGGGTGATTGGGTTCATGGTGGCCTGGGGCCTGAGCCTGAACCTGATTTCCATGATCGGGTTGTTGCTGGGCACGGGTTTCTCTGTGGATTTCATGGCTCACATCGCGTATGCCTTCGCCGTGTCGCCGGCGGCTACACCCGACGGAAAGGCCAGGGACGCCCTTTACAGGCTCGGCGTGCCCATCCTGCAAGGCGGCTGTTCCACTTTGCTCAGCACCGCCTTCATCAACTTGCTGGATGCTTACGTGTTCATCGCCCTCATCAGGATCGTCGTTCTCATCATGGTGGGGATTTTCTTCTTCTTTTTTTTTTTTTTTAGTGTGATGCCACACAGCATCCGCAAATAATAAAACCCACTTCTTGATGCAGAATCTGATTTCAAACACTGTGAAGTATAGGTTTCAGGGGGTGCCTGGAATAGCATAACATTTCCTGGTCCTGTATACCCATGGTCCAGAGACCGGCGCCAGTCTGCAGAAGTGTTTTGCCATTCAACCAGAAATGTTCTTCAGCATCACGCATTTATCAAAAATATAGCATTGAAGTCTACTATCCTTATCTGAAATTTTGGAAGGACATATGCAGTTGGAACTGTCTTATTAAAAATAAAAAATTCGGCTTTTCTCCAAAAAACACTTCGGACAAATTATCACCTGCTTACATAAATTGATTAATTTTTAATTCTGAGAAACCTCTCTTCAAGCTCAACATTCTATATTTTTGAAGACACTGCACTCAAGCTGCTTCATGAGACAAGTAGATTTTTGCAAAAAAGCAGAAAATTATGAAATATCTGCCATAAATGCAATTCTTTCAGGCAAAATTTTTGAGCTGGCAAAAATTTTCCTTTCCTTTCCTGGCCTGCAGTATTTTTGTGTGGAAATTTGCCAGTTAATGGGATCAAAAAGGTTGGTGAACACTAATAGATATAAAAATTGTTTACAAACTCCTGGAAATGAGTGAAAATAACGGTCTTGCTCAACAAACATTTGTGGTTCTTTTTGATGAAAAGGTTGGGGAACACTGATACAAATCACAATTGTGAAAACTCACGGAACTGTGGAAGAATAATGGCATCCCTTAACAAAGTTTGTGTTGGCATTTAAAGTTCATTCTTTTTTAAGAATATTATATTTTCCTAAAAAAAAAGTCATTTATTGATGTCTCTCAGAGATTTTCAGAGGGAACAGGGTTGGAAATGTTTATGCACTTTACACCAGAAAGGATTTTTACTCATATTAGAGTACCAGTATAGTAACCATGAGGGAATTTACTTGTAAATGCAGAAATATTGTACATTTTTCATGATATATTTTACAGTACCTTCCATATTCAAGCTTTTAAACTAAATTTTCGTATGTAAGCTTAGGGAATTTCTCTTCAACCAATTGTGTGAACTAAATTTTTATAATTTTTTGAATGGCAGGATTTTTGCGATATAGGAAAATTTTGTCAAGTGGACGTCTGTTGTAGTCAGATATGATCAGTTACATTATTTTTCTTAAAATTTGTCTACCAAAAAATTTTGAACAATAATGGCGACCAGCTTCAGTTCATTCCTATTCAAGTTTGCGATTCAGATTATTCAAGCTTCATTTTCCAGAATGAATGGTGATTCTCTTCCCAACAAAAGGAAGGTGATCGTGAAATAAAATATCACATTGTTCAGACAGCGCGTGAACTCAGGCGGTTTAATGGCAACATCAAAAGGAAATCCTGCTGTTCCAAAGACTTGTTTACCAAGTTTTCAGATTCTCTATGCTGTCGGATAAGAGCTAGGTGTCTATAATTGATTGACAGATGAACAGATGAAGATTCAAGTCCTGCGATAACTTCCGAGCTATTGTTGTGGGTATATGCATGGGAATCGGCAAACACGAAACACCCTTTATTCATTCTTTCATTTTCCTTGTAAACATTTTCTCTCTTGAAAAAAAAAATGAAGTAACGACAACCGGGAAATGAAAGAGAATAACGAAACAAAACCATGTATTTGAAATCTCGGGAAATTTTCACAGAAATGTTTTTGCAAGCGACGGAGTCCAGTATACGTACATGCACTAGATAGAATCTCGAAACACATTTTACTGTACTTTCATTTTCCTTCCGAACCGGATTTTCTTTAAAAAAAAAAAAGAATTCCAAGCCAGGAAGGAGGAGATCAAAAGAAGAATGGCGTTCATATCTAACTTCGAAATGAAGGACATTTTCCACAGAAGATGTAGATGAGCTTCAGTACAAGGCGGATTCCGACATTTCGACCGAATCAGGAAGCGGATCTATATAAGAAGCTCATTGATAAAAGCCACACTTTTTCGAAAAATAAGAAAAGATTTAATCATGCAGATGAACGCAGAGTTGGTGGAAAATCTGTAAGCGATTCGTGGAATGAAGAGAAATTAAGACGATGAAGGAATGCCGTCGATTTTTGCAGACTCCATCGTAACTATAACGGAAGGATTAAATTTCTACTGTGCTGTGCTTGTTTATTTTCTCCTTTGATTTTTCCAAGAGAGAAAATTCTGAAAATGTTCTGAAGTTGGACCTTGTTTTTTTCCAGTTGTTTGGGATGCTTCACGCATTGCTGTTCTTCCCAGTTCTTCAAAGTCTGATAGCAGAGGTGACGGAATGGTGTTCTGGACCTCGTCACACGGATGAAGACTTGGAGAAAAACGATGACATTGCATGCAAGGTAATGTATTTGCCAGGAAATTTGAAGAACCTTCCTTGAAAAACTATAAAATGAGGAAAAATAATTCATCAGGCGAAGAAAAATCAGCCTCATGATGTGTTATACTGAAGTGAAAACTGATCAAAAGTTTGATTCTCTTTGTTCTGTTGTCACATTCAGAGGGATTTGGGACTCCTTAAAATTCAATGAAAAGGTTCTTCTCAAAATCTTAGAGGACCAAGATCAACTTTCTAAATGATTTCTCATCAAATATTCTGTCCAAATTGTCCGATCAACTAAACCTTATCTGGGAGTAGGCTGAACCCCTTGGGCTTTAATTTAGGATCAGTAATTGCCTGATGCTTCAATTCCTATTGCAAGACTGAAATTTTGTTTTCTTATCAGGGAAGGCAGGAAAATGTATGTATTTACATCAGGTGTGCAATTGTACATTTTGGGAGGCTTATTTCTCCATTTTCCATTCTGATGTGTTTGGATGAATATGAGTGAAGAGGAGGTTTGAATGCAGAAACCTTGCTTGAAACTTGTGAATGCTCAAAAGCAGAAAATAAAGCTTCCAGTTCAATTAAATTCAATTCACATTGAAATACTGCAGCATCATATGCCATCACTGAGATTAAAAATAAATCCATGAGTTTCCAAGATTCAAGTACTGTACTTTAATGGAAGAGTTCATTTTGTAATGGTGAAAGCTTGGGACATGTTCATTCTCATTTAAAAGTGCATATAGTAGCTGTGAGAAATTGAATCTGACTCAAATAGTGGAGGGAATAAACGTGCCTGAACTAAGAAATTGAGACAAAGAATTGAAGTGTTGTCAATAAGTAACTTAGAAAGTTAGAAAATGTTTTCACAAGATTGAGCAGCCAGGCTGAGTCCAGGACCTTAGTCCCATGGTAAATAAATCTTGCTATATTTTTTCTGTAGAAAAGACACAAAAGAGAATCAAGTTTTGTTAAAACATCAGAATGGCAAGGTCAGCAAACTGTGACAATGCATGAAAATTGCTTCTCTGCTTGAAAATCAGCTGAGAATTGGACCCAAATTATGGCGAGTGCCAAGATTTGAAATATTTGATGGAAATCAGAAAAGCTTTTTCTCCTCAACCCATTTTGACAGCGCAGGAAATTTTTGAAGATGTCTCACCTCTGGAAGGGTTAAGCAGGTTCAACTTGTAGGGATGTCCTTCGCTTACTGAAATTCATTTTAAAAAATTCGTTTCTTCTCCCTGTATCCCAAATTCAGGTCCCAGTGATCCACATGCGTTGCGGACACGGTCACTTCTCCCAGGCGCTGCGAACCAAGGCCCAAGAGAACGGTTGTCTCTGCGACACCGGCGACGACTCCAATAAAACGAAACGGTCGCCCATTTTCTACGACCCGGGCCTCGTGGACGGCGTGGACAAATTAATCTTCTACCCCGCAATGATCGTCTTGTCTCGCCGGGAAAGCCCCGAACTGGATGCCAAGTTCTCGTGTGTGGCCAGGTCCGCACTGTCCACAGAGTCGTCCACTCTTCAGGCCGTGTCCCAGTTCAGCCTGGTCTCGTCGTCGACGTCGTCAGTGGATGCGTCTACGTCGTCATCCTCGGATGCCTGTAGAGACGTGAATGACAGAGACTCGCCTGAAGTCGTCGTTATGGTTTAAAAATGTTCGCAAAAAAACAAAAACGCAGGCATTTTTTATTTTTGTTTTTGCTTTGTGTGGAACATCCAGTTCGTGTGAATCTCCAGGTGTTTCTTCCTTTCTGGCGCAAATGCTCGCGTTTATGAAACAGCGTTTTTGATGCAAGAGTCTAGCGAGTCGCATTTTCAGGAGTTAACTGTCATCAACGGAAAAAATGTTCACACTTACTTATTTGTTTTGGAAATTACTCCTTATCCATGAAGAAATCATCAGCTCATTATTCTCTTGAGATTTTTCTCATTTGGGATATGAAAAATTATGGACAATTTTTAATAGGTAGTTACCCCGGTGCGGCATGATGATATTTTTTTGGCATATCCCGGAAGCAAAATTTAGGAGAATGTAGATGCTATTGGCCTTGATGAGGATCCTGTGCCTAAAATCGAAACTTTTCCTGAGATTCGATTTCAATTACTGAAGGGATTTTTCAATTCATGAATTTTTTACAATTTTTACGAGCATATGATGGGAATAGTTCGAGCGTCTTTTGCTCAAGAAAAAAAAAACCAGAGCCTCAATAATCGTTGCCAAAATTTGAGAGTATTTGCAAGTGTTGCGAAAAATCCAGCTTAATCAACAGATTTGTCAAGTTTTTCATGCAAGACTATGAAAACGTGTCAAATAATGCGATTGTGCTGTGCAACTATCATTCCTAAACTTTTCCAGGCCAAATCGTACATCAGTTCAAAACTATAAGTATGTCTCTCATTTTCATATATTGTTATTGTGTCAAAATTTCCTATCAATTACATATGATTTATTGAAAATGATCGCATGCAATTTTATTGTGTTGTTGAAGTGACCTGAAGGAAAAATGCTTTTTTTTTTGCGATTCGCAAGACTCTTGAGGAGACCCTCATATATTCAGGTACCTGAACTTCCTTTGGGTACTAATAACGTACAATGGGAAAGTCGAAGGAAAAAATGCTTTCTGACCACCTGAACAACTTCCCAAAAAATTGTGTATCAGGAAGAATGAGCTTCGTTCATTACTATTATTACATGTTTTGTTACTCATCAACTGACGAGCCAACAAAAGTTGATGAGTGTGTATTGTTCTAATAAATGATGATAAGTTTTCACTCATGCGATTTTTATTTCCGCGAGCATCGTTATTTGCGTGCACCTTTTGAAGAGTAGACTGAAGAAACTTTTCAGTGTTTGCTGAAAAAATGTTGAAAACTGTTCAGTTTTCGAATTTTCGCCTATACTGTATTTTGGCAGTAACACTTTCCCAGCATTTCTGTTGGCCTTAGTTTTTCTTGAAAAAAATTTTTGGTTTCAGAAAAACATTTTAAACTGCTTGAAGATTATTTGGCCCAGCAAAGAATTCTTTATTTCCAGGCTGGGCATAACAGATATGCATAGCAGTATGCATATGTTACGCATAGCTAGTTGTGCTCAACATTTTCTGCTATGCCTGCCTGGGATGAGGAAAAAGGCAAGCAAATGTGCAGAAAAAGTACTTTTTTCTTGACCCAGGTAGGTGTAGCAAGCAGGCTTAGCAAAAGACCTATCTACTACACCTATCCAGGTTGAGAAAAAAGTTGTCAGAGGCCCCTGAGACGTCAGTGACAAAGAATAGGTTTTAGTAAAAATGAAAAGGGTAGACACAATTGGCTGTTTGTGGCCTGAGGTTTGACCTCACAATCCGTTTGGTTTCTTTCTGATTGTCAAATATAACATCACCAAACATAAGCTCTCAATGATCATTGTCTCAAGAATGAAAGTGGACTGCATGTTTTCTTCTTCCGCTAGCTTCAGGTCAATTCTTCTGGAAAAGTTCCTGAAGGTTGATGATGATCCACTAGTGTTTGTGGTACTGAATACACCTTTTGATGAGGGTGGCTCAGATTGGGTTGGTCCTTATAGAATATGTAATGAAGGTTTTATCATCATGAAGACATTGTTTGATAATTCAAGTATCATATAATGATGTTTTTTGTAGCGTTCTGTTTTGTTCTGTGATACATGGCATGTGTTGCAAGCAAAATCTGGTTGACTTGTGTTGGGCCAGAATCCGACAAAGGGTTTATAAAATAAAGATAGACGTAACTCAGCCTTTAACGGCCGGATCCTCCAGAAGGGAGTCCCTTAGAGTTAGTTCTTTAATTTAGCACAAGGCAGGCCAACACAGCAATCACAACCTCAACCAATAATCATACAACAGCATACACACAAGTATAACATACAAGACAAGGTTCTAACTGAGCTCGACAGCGACATCAAACATGTCTGTATTGCTCCAATTCCTCGAGTAATCTCTCTGGGCTTCGGTGCCCTGAATTCGCAGTTTGTAACCTCCTCCTCCTCACTCCTGATCGGTATCTGCTACCAGGTTGTCTGCATTGCGGCATACCAGGTGCGCAGCGGGGATACCGCTGCGCATGCAATGCCGTGCCTTGGTATGGTTCTTTATTATGGTTCTTCGTGCTTTGGTATGGTCCCCCTTTGGCGCCGACGATGTAGAGGTTGAAGGCGCCAAAGGACCCCAAACTTGGGGTCGCAAGATGTCGCTTGCTGCGGGAGGGGTTGCCGGGCTACCACATAGCCTGGTGGCAGAGAGGCCGAGCGTCTTCAACCATGCGGCTACGCAGAAGATGGTGGCGTGCATGCGCCCAGCAGACCCATCTGCAAGAGAGACCAAAGATGGTCATTTGTGTTTGGAGGTTTGCCCGGGGCAGGTCTCCCAATTTGTATCAAGTGTTATAAAAAAGTCTGAAAGTGCAAAGTTGTTAGTCAGAAGTGAAATGCAGCAGGGTTGTCCAAAGAGTTTCATATGGATAGGTAGGTCTTGGTTGCATTGACTTTGTAGAGTATTGGTTTCCGTCATGCATTTGAATTGCTTGCAGACTGCGTAGTGTTGGGGGTGCCCCTGCAAAAGGAATGTAGCAAAGAACAGGCCTAGGGCTTACTGTTAAGATCATCTCAACTGCGCTCAATCTGAGGCAGACTTAGGGGACATAGGTTGTGCGCAATCTTCCGTTGTTGGGAACGTAGTGTATTTGTTCAAGGCTTCCGTCTCCGGGGTATCGTTCTTCAGTTTCTGTGTTAGAATCTTCCATGTCCGCGGTATTGGGATTTTTGGTGGTATGCGGTCAGAGTAGGCGCAGATAGGCACCTTAGGCAGAGATTGGTAGTGGGATTGTGTAGGAGTGTGACTGTGTTGATTGATGTTGTTTCTTCCTTGCGGGACTTGCAGAGCATCGCGTATCACAAACATAGAACAAAACAGTCAATCAACAAGCCAAACCTGAGCCCATGTACAAACTCAGACACGTCAATGTGTGACTGAAAAGGAACCTTGCAACCAACCAAGCGCCAAAAATGACCAGCAGAACAACCAACAGAAGCTGAAACCAACATTGCAGTAATTGACAGATGGAGACATCCCAAAAACGCAAACAAAGTGGCGATCAAAGCAAACCACCAAAGCTACGGGCTTCCTAAGATCATGCGGTTGCAGGGCTGTCATCCAGTAAGTGAAGAAAGGTAGGCTAACCAACAGTTACCTCATTTTGCCTGTCTGTGGGTTACAGCTCCAGATGCACCTGTGCTGGCCATGCCGGAGGTGCCTGTCACAAATGGAGCAGCAACATTGCCTGCTGACAACACAAAGCGCCAAGTGACAATCAAAGTGCCTGCTGCGCTGGAGGAAGGTGCTGCAGCTCTGGCAAATCTCACCACAGCAGGGTGGAGAAGCCTGCTGTTGCTACTGCCAGTGGCGACCTCTATGGAGGAGGCTGTAGCCCAACATGTGTATCTCAAGACGCATGTGGCTCAAGAGATGGCAGCAGTTGGCATTGCCAAAACTGTCAGCCGCCAGCTGCGGGTTGTGAAGGCAGACATGAATGCAAGGGGGCAAGAGCTCATGCGCAGGATGGCAGCACAATTCCGTGCCGGGACAAGGGCCGCCCTGATGGCAGTTAGCCAAGCATTCCCACAAGGCAGATGAGTCTTCCTTGATGTGGAGGATGTGACCATCAAACAGGAAGGTACATAGTCTGCAGGATGCGCCAGATTTGCTTTGCTTGACCAAGTGTTTGGCCATGTTGTGCAGGGCCACTCTGGATTGCTCACTCTGGATTGCACGTATGGCAACAAATCCCGAGGTCATCTTCACTTGGGGACCAGTCATCAATCTGGTACCTGCCTGGTATACAACAATGCTGCCAGGAAGCAGTGTGGCGCCTGCAGCCTTAGGTGCCGTGGCAGCTGCAACTGTAGCCGCAGTGCATGAACAAGTGCCAATTTGCGCCATGCTGCCAGAGACGCGGAGGATGCCAGAGGTTGCAAGGACGTCATTGATGTTGTCGCCATGCGGGTGTCTGGCTGTAAGGATGCCCGAGGTGTCGAGGATGCCATCAACATCGTCACCATGCAGACGGCCAAGTGTGGGAATGCAGGAGGTGTTTGAAGACAAGATCAACATGGAAATGCTCAATGCGCCACCAGGTATGTTTCTCAGACAACCCCGTGTGGTACCCTGTGTTCTGACAGTGTGGGTTACTGTGTTGTTGCAGTTGCGGACAAACCAGAGGCAGCGGGAGTAGAGGTCATTGCCCATGAGCACTTGTGGTGCTTGGAACCAATGGAGCCAACCTTGTATCTGGCAAATGTGCGCCAATGGCGCGGAGCCGCCGGAGAGCAGCATTGCTTCATGCAAAATAACCAGATCCCTAAACCGGGTTTTACTGTGTTGGATTACTTGTTCTGGTGCGCTCAAATGCACCAGATGCCAATACTAAGAGGTTTCAGCACTGGAAGATGATGCGTGCTTGTGGTTGGCAACTCCTTACTCGCCATGTTCCAACGGACTTGTGAGAACTGCTGTTGATTTGGACATGTCTCTTTGCATTTGTTGACAACCCAACCAGTGTTCAACTACTCTCATCTAATGAAAGACCTTTGGTTCAAAGTGTTTCAAGTAAGTATCCACTTTTGTTCCTGGCGGATGAACGACTTTGTGTTCTGCGTGTTGCAGTGGAGTCTATAAGAGGCCTTGCTACTTTGTGAGGACGGAATGAGCTGCCACCCAAAGCATGGCAAAAGAGGGTGTGGGCCGATCTGTGCCTCCCTCCTGACATGGATCCTCTTCATGGCTGGGTATGGATTCAAAGAAACTACCAACAGCATCTTTGCTCTCTTAGACTCAGGAGCCCAGCTAAACTTGGTAACACAAGATATAGTTTACAGATTGAACCTTAAATGTTATATATATATGGAGAAAAGAAAATAATCGCAATTCGGTTTCTGGGTTACACTGGAGTCGGCACTATGTATATGATGCATTCGAATTAAATTTTTCGTGCGCATAATTCAGAACGACTTTCAAGAAACGTTGAAAGCTGCTCATGCTATCCAACCATGATTGGTGTTTTTGGTGCTCATTAATATACTGTATACGATACTTTTTTGTCTTGTCTAAAAATGCTTGCAGTGACGCTTTATCGTGACCTTGATGAAAGACGGGAAGTACTGTGTGTGTTATTCGGATCTAGCGTTATACCCGGACAACTTCAAGTGGTACCACAATGACTGTGTAAATGTTGCATTGTGTTTTCGTGGAAAAATATAAAACAAACCTTTGTGAACTTTATGCCATCAGTGAATTTTAGAAGTGTGTGGAGCACTCCACACTTTGTCGTCATATTCCGGAGGTTGAAGGGTCACCGTTGATGGTATACTTTTGCTAATACCAGGACCATATGCACCTGAGTGCCATGACAACCAGCGCCCTTCAACCCTTTTGCAGAAAGGACACAGAACCAATGTTCAAAAAAAAATTTTACGTGGGCATTATTTGTTCAGTATATGCTTTAGTTAGTCAAACAAGCATCCACCAACACTAAAAAAAAAAAAAAAACCCACAGAATATGTTTCTGGATCCTTGCAACATTTTTTTGTGAAACATTTTATTTATACTCCATACCGTATTTTTTAAATTTATCAATTTTGTCAGGAATGATTCATTTTCTTCTGGTCTCAATTATGTTGCGCACAAAGCAAGCTACATTATATCAGTGCTCAGCAAAGAATGGGGGCATTGGGCTGGGGAACGTTTTGACATTGGCATTGGCAA